CCGGTTCATGACCTGAATACCATATTCGTATGAAGATAGATATTACATTAGAATTTACTAGCAACTCAATTACTTGGTTGTACCATTTTCTTGGATGACTGATGACTCGGTATTTGCACATGTTTTCCCCTTTGTTTCTTGATTGTTTGAGCTTGAATTATCGTGTCTTTGGCCTATTTTACGCTAGGTTGTGTTCCTTTGTCACATTTCAGGTCCTATCACATAAAGTGAATCATAGGCGCAAGTTTCAAGTCAATCAGAGATCAATTGACGATTCGGGAGAAGAAACTCGGGTATGACCTGAAGAAGAATGGATTTCTACCTCACTTTATGGACAAAGAATCATGCAAGCTTGTCATGAAAAGAAAGAGGACGAGACTACGAGCGTCTGGGATCAAACGGCGACTGATTCGGAGTCCGGACGAGGGAGAAACGAAGCATTAAACAGAGGCTGAGCAAGCCACACGGGCACAACCCACACGGCCGTGTGACCTGGCCATGTGGCCGTGTGACCTGGCCATGTGGCCGTGTGACCTGGTCATGTGGCCGTGTGGAAATCACCGAGCCTTCACACGGGCAGCTGGGAAAGCCACACGGCCGTGTGGCCTGGCCGTGTGAGTCGGGAATTGCTGTTTAAAACCCGATTTTCAGCAAAAGGAAAGGGGGAGAGCTGGATTTTGGATCCCAAACACCCAAGGGACGAACCCTAGAGAGAGAGAGAGCGACTTGGGAACATTCTTGGAGCTATTTTGGAGGATTTCTTCGCCATTGGAGCTCGGGAATCAAGCTTGGAGATGGAGATTGAAGATCTAGATCAGATTTCTGCAGTCTCTCTCTTCTCTATGGAGTAACTTCCCTTCACTTAGGTTTTGAGGAACCTTAGTTCCATGAGTTAGGATCTTTCTTGTATGAAGTTTTGGATGCTATATTGTTTGATTATAATCGAATGATGCATGTTTATTGAGTCAATTGAAGTCTGATCAACTTTTCCTGATTCCTGCTGCAATCTGAGATAGATAGAATCTGATTAGGTTGCTAGAGTCTCATCATTCGGTAGTAGGAGATTGGCTATACGAGAGTTAGCCAGTTTACTGCTTTGTACTGGAATCCAATTCCAGTAGTGGAGTTCTGTGCTTATTGCTTCAGCTTTCTATTCCGGTGAAGACTAGTCGTCTGCCGGATAGTTAGACTGAGAGGGCTTGGTCAGCTTAAGAGATTCCAAGCTACTGTTGGATCTTCCGCAGTTTAATCAACAGTAAATCAACCAAAAGGAATTACAACTTGGACCTAATTGAGGAGCTAGGGGGAATCATACCTAAGTGAGTTCCCAAACTGTAATTAGTAGTTTTCCTTAGTTTAGTTAGTAGAGTAGTTTAGTTAATCAATCCTTAATCTAGTTTGCTAGATAATGAACTGAAGCTGAGTAATAGTAACTCTAGAGACCCGTGGATTCGATATTTATTACTTGTGCCACTATACTGCAGTCCCTTTCGTTGGTTACACTTGGCCATTGTTAGGTGTTGTGTTTTAGAGCATCAATGACTCTTCGCCTGACTCATTCCCTTTAAAAATCACACATAGCCGGACTCGTTTATTACCATTCGTCATAATTCAAACCTATTCCTTACCCATGCATGTGTTGGCTTCAATCCATATGTAAGTCAGTCCCACTCAATTAATCTAATTGCTTTCTCCCCTTAATTCTTTAAGAACCCACTCCAAATAATTCCTTATACCATAATTAAGTTCAGAACCTAGTACTAATGTATCCCACTCGTTTGATGCTTAAAGAAGATTTATCCATCTCAACCCAGACTTCCTATTTACACATCACCATCACCTTTCCCCGGTAGCAATTATCGAGCATCCAACCATCTATGGAATTACTAGGGTCTAGGGCTACACATGCATGCATGTAGCTAGAGATTCACAGATAGAAATAAAAAGATCATCATATCCTATAATCCCCGACTTAGCCAAACCTCACATAATCCACAATGGTCATCATAAAAGGCGAGACTTTAATAAGGGAAATATGGTATTGGGAGGGAAGAATAACACTTCGCTACCTTCATTCAGAATGGAAGTTTCAGGGGCATAGTAGCTTCCTTCAAGTTCTACCCCTAACAACTCTCTCTCTCTCTCTCTCTCTCTCTCTCTCTCTGTGTGCGCTAGTATGTAGTAAGAAAGCAAACAAAGCACATTCAGCTCTCTCTACCTTCCCTAAACCGAAACCCACTTCACTACCCTTGATAACTCTATTCTCATAACCAAAAGTGACCACGTGTTTCATCTTGCTCCAAATTGGAAATGGTTCCAAACACTTGTCATCGGAAAATAATGGAAAAATACAAGACAAGTTCCCTTATTTATTTTGGGGTTGTGTGATATGTATAGAATAGTGACGGTAAAGATGAAGATTGATGAAAGTAGTGGGGGTTGACATATGCATTTAGTTATCTAGCTAAGCTTGGTTTGGCTTTTATTCAGTATTTTTTTCAAGTGAAAAGGTGGGATTAGATAGTAGGAATTGAAGTGAAGGAATCCTAATATTTCGCTGGGTGATACCTAACTCAATTTGACCTCACTAATAATACAATCCTTTTATATACTTTTAGTATGTTTTCTTTCCTAATTATTCTGTATCGGACTTGTGTAAGTTTCACACGCATAATCTAAATCCAAATGCTCGAATCTTTCTCTCTATGCATATATAAAGCTTCTTAGAAGACATAAGGTTTAATATATTACGTAATACACGAGACAGGGGTGTGACAAGTCCACTCATGTTTTATAAGAAAAAAATAATGGAGCATCGTGCTGATTTGTATAACTTTTTATAGAATATAGATGGATATTGACAAAATGGTTATTCAGTTTGTGCTAACATGAGTTATTGGTTTATTGACATAAATATGTGAATACCTCAAATATATCTCGCGCGAATATACAAGTTTTTTGGTCACCACTAGAGATGGAGTGTGTTCAATTTCAAAAATAATGGCTCGTTGTTGTCTCCCTCAAGCAGAGCAGCAGCGGCGGGAGGTCTCATTCGAAACCATCTTAGAGAGATGTAAGGGGGCTTTCATCAACAACCTAAGAGTGTGCTCAATTCTGTGTGCGGAGCTCAAATGCGCATTTGAAGATATGAAACTTGCTTGGACGAGGGGATACTAGAAAACTGCAGCTAAATATTGATTCCATGACGAAAATTAACATAATCCAAAACGTTGCTGATGATGATCATCGACATGGTATCTTGGCCAAACATATTAGGCTACTTAGCAGAAATTTGAGAAGTGAAAGTCTCCCATGTGTACAGAGAGAACAATTTTGCAGCTGATTACTTGGGCAGTAGTGGTAAAGGGAACGGTTCTTCATTAGGCACACGTGAGCGACCCGAATCTTTTGATCTGGCTCTCATGCGATATTAATGCAATTTAGAATGCGGCATTTGTGTTCTTACAAACAAATGTGAGTGACCAATTTGTTAATGGCGCAAACATAAAGGATGGTTTATGTAATTTACCAATTTTTCCAACTTCCAACGTCCATTATGATTAGCAAGGTTGTCAACGCACGAGTAGACCCCATTTGAACCTGGATCGGTGAGAAAAACGGACCGCACGAACCTGCTAGGTCGATCGCTACAAGGTACTGGGTTGGAGATCAAATTGTGTCATTTTTTTCTTTGGTTTGCGAAATGCGCCTATTTTCTGATTTTTCTTTTCGCCTAACTCCATCTTTGGAATCCTAAGTTGAACGTATGAATATATATGTTATATAAGTGTGTGCGAATTTTCACTATATGTTGGATCTAAGTACGACATGTTATTTTGGTGAAATATTATATGTTATAACTCATATGTATTTCATATAATTTATCAGAATAAGTACAATATAATGACTCTTTCCATATTTCCGGGTTAAAACGGGATTGGGTGATCCATTAATCCTTGATCGACTAGCTCGACCGGGTCCGGGTCAGTCCGCGGGTTGACAACCTTAACGAATGATGATTAGTGATTACTTAGCAGAATGTCAAAAGTACCAATATACCCTCACAGTAGTAAATTCCCTTCCTTTACCCATCCGGAACCCCAATTGCCCCACAATCCAGTCGTGGCCTCTCCGCCTCCTCCACCCCTTTCCCAATCCCCCAGTCTCTCCGCTGCAACAGGAGAAAGCGCCGCCTCCTTGCTTCTCTCCTCCCAGACGCCACTTCCCCAATCCCTCCTCCCTCCTATATTCGGGCAACCCACAACTTCGACGATAACCCCAAACAGCCCCCAGTCGCCGCCATTGTCGTGTCTGCAGTCCCTTCATCGTTAACGATTTCCTCGCCTTTCAGTCTGTCTCCTTCCTCAATCCCGCCCCCAATCGCTTCTCATCATATTGGACACAAATTTCCTTGTTATATGAACTGCCAATTCTGAAGTTATCATGTTCGTTCGATGATTGTTTCAGGGCATCCGCGCGCCAAAGCTTCGAGGCCTTGATCGAATCGATTGCTGCGGGCGGGAGGCTGTTCATCGAAAAGGAATCGACTTTACTCTTCCCCAGAAGTTTCTCATGGTGCCCGCGTAATCTGTGTGTATGATTGGACTGTTCTGTTGTTTGCCTGGTTAGGGTTATGCGATTGCCCAAGGACTTGACTGGTGCTGTATACTTGCTCTTAGTCAGAGTCTACTCTCTCATTTCTCTGGGTTTCTCTGCATTGTAAAAGAGCAGAATAAGAAAGGTTATCATCCTGTATATGTTGTTAGTTTTGCGGGGTTGGATTGATTTGTAGATACCGCCCGGGAAAAAGATGGTGGAAAATCAACTCTATTGTTATTGCTTGTTATTTTCAGTTTATCTGTTCTTTGCTTAACAGCTCTTGGCAATAACATCTATATATATCTTCTGGGTCGAATCCCCCGTGTTCAAATAAGAAAAGAGGAAGAAAAAAGAACAATAAAAAGAAAACATTGAACCGTGAAAAAAAAACCGATTAAGTAATGGCGACTCCTGGATTAAGCAACCGGCCTAATGGCCAGAAGCAGCAGCGGCGGTTTGGCATCACGGATCCGATATCCACGTCTGGTCCTACTGAGTTCGATGTAGTGAAGACCCGCGAACTTGAGAAGGTTAGGTTGTGGTTTTCCTTTCCTATTTTCTATGTGCTCATTGTTCGGTTAATGTGCTGAAACCTTCTTGTTTGTGTGCCTTCAGTATCTCCAAGATGCAGGATTGTATGAGAGTAGTGAGGAATCTGTTTCCAGAGAAGAAGTACTTGGACGGCTAGATCAGGTTGCTCTTTGCACATGCAAACTTCCTTATCTGCTTGTTGATTGTTATTATTACTCCCTTGTGGTTTAATCGTATAGTGCTAGATTAGATTATCATGTTCTGATGTATCTGTGAGCTGATTATGACTAGAACATTGATGATGGCACCACAGATTGTCAAGCATTGGGTGAAAGTAATTAGTCGCGCCAAAGGGTTGAATGAGCAATTGGTTCAAGAAGCAAATGCAAAGATATTCACATTTGGCTCTTACAGGCTAGGGGTAATTATATTTTTAAAATGCTGAATGGGTAGTAGTTTGGTTACCTGCGACCATTATGTTTTTTTGCTACTCTAACGTAGCTTCTTGATTTTCTAGTGATTTCCTTTTTTTTTTTCATTTTCCACTTTTCAGGTCCATGGCCCTGGTGCAGATATTGACACACTTTGTGTGGGACCTAGACATGCTACTCGTGAGGTGCTATATCATCTTCCCTATGTCTTGTCTTGAGAAAATATTCATTAATTTTAGTGCAACTAGGTGTTCTGATTTTCAGAACAACATTGCATGCAGGAAGATTTTTTTGGAGAATTGCAGAATATGTTGTCCTCAATGCCTGAAGTGACAGAGTTGCACCCTGTCCCTGATGCTCATGTTCCTGTTATGAAATTCAAATTGAAAGGGGTTTCTATAGACTTGCTCTATGCAAAATTGTCACTGTGGGTGATTCCAGAAGTAAGTTTTGGTATTTGTATTCAGCTTCTTTTCTCTTTAGCTAATTTTCTTCTTTGAACATTCTCTCTTTGGTGCTTGCTCTGATTTTAATTGTATTACAAGTGACACATTCATTTTTTGTACTTTCTTCTTCACGATAGATGCATTTTTCTGCTAGAGTTTCTTAATCGATCATCATGTTTGTTGTCCATGAGAAGCTTTGGATGGAGGTTTTTGCTTTTTATTTGTCTCATTTGGTAAGAAATGAATCTTCTTTTATTGAGGGAGTGAGAGTGGAAGGATCAGGATGCACATTAGATATTTAGATGGTAGGTGCAAACTGTGAAATTACCGTACGATGCTAGGAAGAATCTTTTAGAAGTTTTTGAGGACATCTTAGAGAATGAAGCTCCCTGCTGATGAAATAGTATTTTAGTTACTGCATTTGGTATTTGACTAATTATCTATTTGATATCACTGTATAATTGTAGCAGATGATTTTTACATAATTTGTGTACACAGGATCTTGATGTTTCACAAGACTCGATACTACAGAGTACAGATGAACAGACTGTTCGCAGTCTTAACGGGTGCAGGGTCACTGACCAGATCTTGCGACTGGTGCCAAATATTCAGGTTTGTTGTGGGTTTGTGACTTCATTAGTAGCATGCTGTATCGTATTTTGGTTTTATGTACTGAACTTTGTCACATTGATTTGTTGTGCTTACCTTGGAAGTGCAGAACTTTCGAACAACCTTGCGCTGCATGAGGTATTGGGCGAAGCGTCGTGGTGTATATTCAAATGTATGAATATTTTGCTGATATCAATTTCTTTTTGTTAGTTTAGCCATTCCTCAAAATTCTTACCTCTGCTGTTTTGCATTGTATCTCTGTAGGTTGCTGGGTTTCTTGGGGGTATCAATTGGGCTTTACTTGTTGCTCGTATCTGCCAGTTGTACCCAAATGCGCTTCCCAGTTATCTAGTGTCTCGATTCTTTAGAGTCTATGATGAATGGCGTTGGCCAAACCCTGTCATGCTTTGTGATATTGAGGAAGGGTCCCTTGGGCTTCAGGTTTGGGATCCTAGAAGACACAATAAAGATAGGTTTCATTTGATGCCTATAATCACCCCTGCTTATCCTTCCATGAATTCTAGCTACAATGTCTCTTCAAGCACTCTACGGATAATGTCGGAAGAATTCCAGAGGGGAAGGGAGATATGCGAGGTAGAGATACCTTCTTAATTTGAGCTGTCCTGAACATTCAGTGCAGAAGTTCATTCTCTTGAGTTTACGTGTCCTGTTTCAGTTATCCCTTTTTGATTTGTCACATGTTTAGCTTCTTGTTATGACTGATGGACATGAATATCAAGGTTAAACATTTAGCTCATTCGTCTCTTGGAGAAGTTAGAGGAGCACAGATTATCCTTTTGCTTAACTTCTTTGGAGTATGTTAATCCTTGTGCATAGTTAACTTTATGTTAATGTGTAGTATTGGCTGGATTATGTAGCATACTGCAATGGTGCAATTCAGACAGGAAGAATCTCATGTAATTTTTATATTATGTTTTGATTCCAGCTGATCATATGACCTCGCTATAACTAATGCTTAGGGCTATCTTTGTGTCATATACAGTAGACACCATATTGGACAAAGATCCTCTTGACTTCTGACTGACAGGCCGGGTTACTCACCACTGTTTTCTTAATTTTGTCTTCTGGATCGGTTCTACCTTATCATGATTGTACTTCTGTTCAACTTGATTCTTTTTATACCTTCATGAATATTGGCATAGTATTTTTTTTTAAATTGTTCTAAATGTGCTTAACAGGCTATGCAAGCTAACAAGGAAGACTGGGAGACTCTTTTTGAGCCATTTTCTTTCTTTGATGCCTACAAGAACTACCTACAGATAGATATAAGTTCTGGAAATGAAGATGACTTGCGAAACTGGAAAGGTTGGGTTGAATCTCGTCTTCGTATCCTAATCCTGAAGGTAAATGAAATGTTTGTGTCATCATCCAATATGCCTTTGTTTCCCCCTTTTGTGTGTCTGCACTTGTTCCAGTAGATAGGAAGTGAGTTGGAGGAAGTGTGTATGAAAACATTATAGGTGAATGACTATGAAATACCATACGATTATGAAACACCATATATGTGGACAGTGTGAAGTGATTGCAATGGTTCCACCAACTTTCAAGTTTTATGGAAGATGAAAGAGTAGAATTCGGAATGTAGAAACAAAAAGTAAAGTGGGGTCCAAGTTATTTTCTAAATATATTTGAAATCTGATGTTGGAAGTGCGTCTTTGATCAACTTTGTGCATCCAGTTAATTGTATAAATGTGCTTCTCAATTTGTTGACATGTTTTGATGTCTCTTAACATTGACCTTTAGATCCATATATGTTACTGTCGTTGAATCTAAATCTGCCCTGTTTTCTGTGATTACACAGATTGAGAAGCACACTTACAACATGCTTCAGTGTCACCCACATCCTGGCGAGTTTTCAGACAAATCTAAGCCTTTACGTTACTTTTACTTCATGGGTTTGCAACGTAAGCAAGGAGTTCCAGTCAATGAAGGTGGACATTTTGATATAAGGATGACCGTCGAAGAATTCAAAGTCACTGTCAACAGTTACACATCGTGGAAGCAGGGGATGGAAATCCAAGTAAGCCACGTGAAACGAAGGAGTATACCTAGCTTTGTTTTCCCTGGTGGATGTCGTCCGTCTCGTCCATCTAAAGCCACATGGGATAGCAGGCGAAGTTTGGAAGCTAAAGCTTGCACTGCAGCTGACAAGTCATCACCTGAAGGCAAAGGAGGGCCAGATGGATCAGATGATAGGAAGAAGAGAAAGCATGTGGATGATGATGTGGAGAATAATAGTACCTTGGGTGTCAAGCGCCTGGCTGCTGCTGTATCTTCATCAAATGAAGCTCTTGAGGGTAGTCCTTCTGCTATTAGGGTTCATTCACTTTCTGCAGAAGGTGACCTTCCAAGTGCGAGTGAGTTTGGTGAATCAGGGAGAGAGCAGGACACAGCAGCCACTAGTTTGGGCGTTTTAATTGGAACAGGAATAGGTTGTAATGCATCCCCACAAAATGCCTATGAGATTTTGGAGAGATCGAGCTCCAAGGAGGCTGAGAAGTTGGCCATCGAGGAAATAATGTCTGGTCCATATGGAAGTCATCAAGCTTCACCTCAAGAACTCGACGAGCTTGAGGATGAGGTTGAGTATGGAAAGCACGGCAAGGATTCATTGGGGAATGAGAAAAGCTGCAGCACAGTGGAGTCTTCTTCAACTCCTGATAAAACAGCTGAAGCAACAATAACAGGAAGTGCACCTCCAATGATACCATTGTTAACATCCTGCAATGGCGGAGCTGTTGTGCCGAATCCTCCTAGCTGCCTTCATGGAGGGCTGGATGAGCTTGAGGTCTCCTTTTACCCCTACCCTTCTCACTTCTTCGATGATATTTTCCCTGTTAGCGGTTTGATATTTCTCCAATTGAAATAAGACATTATGCTAACAAAATTAACCATAGTTATGCTAATTGGTGGCTAAGGTCATCCATGCTTAGTCAAAGGGTGGATTTTCTAGTATGGATTGTTTGCACGATAAGTCATAACCTTTTGGCCAACACAAGTAGGTGTAGTGGACCACGGTACTCAGTCCGGTTTAGTGAAGATATACATAATTTTCCTTGATAAAAAGCATGTTGTAGCTTCTAGCATTTGACTGGAATCTCCTACGTGTTCCTTTTGCATCATTGCATGTGCTTTCCCCATTCTTTCTCCTTGGTGATTGATTGGATTGTGATTATGGGCTCATTTGGTTTAACGCTCACCTGTCCTTTCTTGCTCAGCCTGCTGAACTTGTGCCACCTTCAGTAGCTCCTGCTGTACAAAGGAAGCCGCTCATCCGGTGAACTCTCTATCTCTACCTTGGGTTCTTAACCGAGTTGTTGCCTACTTCCATGGTTTTGTGTTATAAGATATCTTGTTTTGGTTGGTTGCAGGTTGAACTTTACTTCGCTGGGTAAGACTCACTAGCAGCAAAGCAATGGAGTACAAAGGCCTTTCCCGAAGTGTTTTGTTCTGCCAAAGTGAATCTTGATTCTTCCAAGTCACCTAGCTCGGCTGCCTCTCTTTTAATGTTCATGCACTCTTTCCTGTAATGAGAAAGACATGACATCGCTGTACTCTTTATGACATGTTAATATTATTATCCTTGTTAAAAGAGGAGCGTTTTATGTGTAATAAATCATCTTTCTCCTGAATTTGGGATTTGACAGGGATCCACCTTAATAATATTGATTATTTATATACCTTAGAAGTTAAATCAGAGGCACAATTTGATTGAAAACTTCCAGAGGAACTTGGAAAAGAGCAGAACAATGATGTTCTTGGCCGTACACGAGCTATGCTGATGTATTCAATGAGTTTATAAAGTAGACGACAGGTTGTGCAATCTTTGAAATTTCATGGTGACACATATAGATTATTACAATGGTTGATCTCGAAAGAAAAATTTCTGGTAATTAACTTTAATCTTGAGAATAATTAGTGTATTAGAAGGTGTCCCCAAAACCAAAACCAAAACCGAAGATAAAGATAATGTGGGTAATGCTTCAAGGTCCAGCGAGCCAACCAAGCTCATATTATAGAAAGGAGGCACATTCAAAGGACTCTGCTACTTCTATGACATAACATGGTATAATATTTATATATCTCTAGACCAAAATCTACTTGATGGAAATTGGAATCTCATTGACCAATGAATTTTTTGTGACAGGCAGGGCAGACAAGTCCAGCCCAGAAAAGATCACATTCTGCAAATTCTGTCTGTCTACTACTCTCTTACAGAGACCAGACATATGCAGACATCATGGCAAGTCAGTGTCTGCAATAATTCGACGATGATCATGGTGATGGAGGAGAAGGGTGGTAGCCAAACTGTCATCTTCCACCTTCAAATTGTCTGCTACATTTTCAGTTGACAATATTGTCATTCTTCTCTCTTCATTCTTACCCCAAAGGACACAGTAGAGACCAATCATTATCAGCACTGCTCCAACCATCCTGTTATAACCGCAACGAACATTATCAATACAACTGGCATAATCAGCAGTGATGATTAATCACTATGAGAACATTTTGAGCTTTTTACATGGGGCATTAGAGATTCTCGTTCAGAATTGGTTTAACATGGAGTGACATGTTTAGAGTTTCTGACTTTGTATTTAATAGCAGCTTTGAAGGTTTTATCCTGCTAGTTAAGGAACATACCCTCCTGAGTAGAGTTGATCTCCGAGGATCAAAGCGGCCATAATGGCAACTAGAACGGTCTGCAATGGCTGGAAGACTGCAACAAACACTGGACCTCCCTTCTGAATGCACCATGTCTGCAGAGAGATTACTATCCCAGATGCCACAATTCCCTGCACAAAGTCACAGTTTAGTCCTAATTGCAATTAACTGAGGTGGAAATGAGCATAAATTGCACAAAATCAAAACCGGCTTACAGCATATAAGATGGTGAAGAGCTCTTCTAGTGACTGCAGCTTCCAGTTGTTCAAGTCAGTTTCAAGGAATGAAGCAATGACCAAGAACTGGATCAACCCAAAGAAGCATGTGAATGATGTCATGGTCAGCTTGGCTGGGTACTTCTTCAGCACTGGAGCCTGCAATATAATGTACAGATATAACCCATCATTTGATTTCAAGCTCGAGCCTTTCTTTGAGAAAGCATATCGATTCACATAGCTCGTGGCGGGTACCTGGAAGACCATCCAGCCAGCCCAAGAGAGGCAGTGGCCAAGGAGGTAGATGCAACCCCAAGTCCAGTTCTGCATTTTCTTACTATCTGATGCAATGTCAATTTGTTGATGTTCCTCCATTGTGAGCATGTTTCCCCCATGGTGGAGTAGAGGAGGGCCTTTGTAGAGGGTGATTATGGTGGCACCTCCTATGCATGCAATTGTGCCTGCCACTTTTGCCAACCCATCTCTCCTTCTCAAATTCACTTGCTCCACTCTACAAAAAGAATAAAATTTTATGAACAGTAACAAAATGAAAGGAATCATGGTTATGTTTTGATTAGTACCCAAGAGCAGAAGCCATGAGGAAAGTAATTGCAGGAACTGAGTTCTGCATTGCGGATGCAAATGTTGGAGATGCATAGTACAACCCAAGTAGATAAAACCCTTGGTTGGCTGTTATCCTGACAAATCAACACAATACTCAGAATAATAAAACCCAGTAACCACAAAGATCAAAAATGGAAAAAACAATCAGCATTCTTGTTTACCCTATCAATGCTAGAAGGAAGAACTGAAACAGCAACGCAAATGTAAGTGGTGGTCTTTCATTCCTGAAAATCAAATGGAGAATCAATATCAGCACAAATGGGATGAGTTTCAATACATATATCCAAAACCCATGAAGGAAACAAGGAGATTGGATTCGTCAAATGCATACTTCTCCAGGAAATAGGCGAAAGGGGCCAAGAGAAGGAGAGCTATGGTGTTTCTGTAGACAGGGTAAACCACTTGGCTGACTCCAATGTTGAGTGCAACCCTTGAAACAATGTGGAACCCTGAGAAGCATAGCTGAAGTATCAACAATCCTAGCACCAGCTTCATTCTCTCTGATGGTGCCTTCATTCCACTTGATGCCATTCTTTCTCTTTTTCGTTTGTAAGCTCTTTTGCTCTGGTGTGATTGAAGAACAATTGGTTCTCATGTATATATATCTGCACACAGCCACCATCCACAAACATCTTCGTGATTATGACTAACCAACCAGCCTTTTCAATTATTTGGACGAATCTTTCCCAATAGTTGACTCCTGTTAGCCAATTATCGTTGAGGCTACAACACATGCATGAACATACTAAATACCCCATGCAACTTGTTCTGCAGCTCCCTGCCTGTTTGGTTTCACCCTATGTGAACAACTCTGCAAACAGATTCATTTGATTTGTTAATGAATTTGGGTTCAGGCTCTGTCGTAGATTTTGCAAAAGCAGCTTTTGACTGGAATTTTTAGCGAAGTTAAAGTACTAAAAAAACAATTGAATGTTGTTTGATAAACTATTGGAAGTATTTATTAATATTAGAAGTCGAGTAATTCAACGAAATTTTTTTAGATTCAAACAAGTTGTGTCTGTAAATTGTTTTTGTCTTCATAAGTTCTCTTTGGAACAAATTCAATCCTTCAATCAACCACATGGATTGAAAATTAGAGGGTAAAACTAAAAATTGTCACTATACATTAAAAAGGGATGTTCAAATGTTATTCTATGCTATTTTCTCTCTATTTTTTTGCACATTCATCTTACACGACAACAGATTTAGATAATTTTCCAGAAGTTGAACAATATTTGAATGTGTTATGATATTGTATTGGTCAATTTCTGTTTTACAAACAACATATTACAAGTGTGAAGGGTTAGTTTATGTTCAATTTAAAAGGTTAAAACCCAAGTTGATTTGTGAGCCTGTAATGACAAATGAGAAAAGAGATATAGTGGTGCTGCACAAATTTTATTTATAAATTTTGCTTGTCGCCTGACTTTGGGGAATAATGGTTTATCTGCAGACAATGTGGAGGGTGAAGCATGTGGGGCAGGCAGTCTAATGCACAGAAGAGCACCTCTCCTAATTATACCAATCAATGAACCCGGACTCGTAATTAGGGGTGGCTATACGTTACGGTCCGGTTAAATTGGACCAAATTGATTCGGTTCCAGTATGGTCTTTTCGGAAATATAAGGACCAAAGATTGGATTGGATACAGTCTGGTCTTGACCCGGTACGGTCCCAATTTTATCTTGATTTTAGGTGTTGGGAGTCTCTTATCCGGTCTTTATTTGGTTTTTTACCTCAAATCTAAGCCCGAATATGAGATTGCATTGTTTGCTATCCGGTCCCAGTCCGGTCCCGATCCAGGTTATACGGTCCGATTTCGGGTAAAACCAAACAGTCCGGGACCAAATAACCAACCCTACTCGTAATCAGAATATTATTAGGGCCAGAAATTCGGTCGTATTGTATAAAATCAATGTCAAACATCAAATTAATCTCGGCAAAATGGAACCGAAACCAAATAGTGCAACATAAATTCTCATAAGTCAAGATTAATTTCCTTTCAATTTGCTTCCTATTTTCATAGGGATGGATGGAAACACAATGATAATGCACCTAAGCTCAAATTATGATTAATCTTTTAATTTGCTTTCAACAACTAGGATCCTCATTAAAAAAATAAACCAAATTAAGATTCCTTCGATTTTATTTGTCCCTTTTCATTATTAGGGCATTAATTGATGAAATTAAATGATTAATCATAATCATGAACCTTGAGCTGAATGATAGATTAGGTGACATGTTGATGAGTATGAGATTGAAGGGAGAGGGGGTGTTGATTGTGTATTGATTGGTGAGGAAGTGGGAACACAACAAACAAATCCAATTGCCATGTGGGGTTTACCCCTTTGGCCCTCCCTTTACATTATAAATCATTTCCCCGCATTTAGTTCGAGTTAACAAAATTAACATAATCCAGAGACGGAGCCAGGATTTGACGATCGGAGGCCGAATTTTTTTTATGTTATTACAAAATAACTAAAAATAATTTTTATATTATTATAACATCATAAATTATTGGGTTAATACCTTATTATGGCCTGAACTATGACCATGTAATCAACTTTGGCCCGTGGTTTGAGAAATTAACATCCTGGCCCGAACTATGCAGTATAGAGACAGAATTGGCCTGGAGCATGGTTTGACCGTTAGTCAACTGTCCAGGTCACTGCCATGTCACAAAAAAAAATTATAATTTCATTTTTCTTTTTATTTCCTTTACAAAATTGAATAATAAAGAAAAAAAACAAAACATTTTGGCCACCCATCCCCACCTTATCCCCTCACCTTCTTTCATTTTCGATCAAACCCAAACAAACCCTATCTTCCATTATTCTTCTTCCTCCTTCTTCCCCGACGAGCCGCCGCCTCCATATCCCAAACGAAAACAAATCCCTTCTTCCCCGACGACCCGCCGCCTCCATATCCGAAACAGCTCCCTTCTTCCCCGACGACCCACCGCCTCCATACTCTAAACGAAATCGAGCTCCCTTCTTCCTTTCTATCCAAAAACGGCTCGAGACCCCTTTCGCGATCTCTTCTTCCTTTTCTACCCGACCCATCTCGAGCTCTCTTCAGACCCCTCTGTGCAATAATGTCCAGGCGAGTTGGGAAAATTGCCACCAAAGCTTCATCCTCTTATGGTTCGTCAAGCACGAAGCCCATAAGATGCAACTTCCACCGAGCCCCCTGCGTTGTCAACACTTCTCGAACAGACGACAATCCTAGAAGATTGTTTTATTCTTGCCCGTTTTGGAAGGATGAAGAGAAGAACTGCCGGTTTTTTCGCTGGGTTGATGCAGTCATAGAGAGTGACTTTATGCTTGGCGGACTTATGGAAGAGAATGAGCGGCTAAAGTCGACGTTGGCGGCATTTGAAGGACAACTTCGTAGGGCAGAAGAGAAGGCAAAGAAAAGGAAACATGAGAAGTTGGCTATGCTTGAAGACTTGACGAAGGTGACCGAGATCAATTCAGCTAGTTTTGGTGAATTGCAAAGTATGCGAAATGCGATTTGTGCGCTACAAAATCGGCTAACCGCCTGTATAATCGTTGTAGTTATGTTTCTTTTTGTTTTGGTGATTGTCCAATTGTAAGCTTGTTGTCTAATTTGTGTAATTTCCTATGAAATCAAAGAACTGCTACCTTATTTCCTTCCAATTGTAAGCTTGGTCTTTCATTGAAGCATAACTGGGACAAACATATACAACTTCATTCATTCATAAACATAATCTGTTTGATCATTCCAACATGTCCGGAACATTTACAAAAGGGGCAATACCTAAGTTTAGGACAAGGTTTTCCAGACCATTTACAAAAGGGGCACTACCTTAGTTTAGGACAAGGTGTGCCTTAGTTTAAGGTTCATTTCAAGACCATTTACAAAAGGGGGAATCCTAACTTTGGACCTACTTTACAATCCTACACTCCAACGAATCACAATGATCCGTAACATGCACATAGCACGCACAAAACAGGAGTCTTATCTACTTCCTAACATAGCATCTTCTGACTTCCTAAGGCGAGTCTGGTCGAGTAGTGGGAGGCTGTGTGGTATTGATAGGAGGCAGGTCCGGTTCTGTTGCTCGTACACCACCAGGTGGTGGCACTATGTGGCTAAGCTGCAAAATAGTAGGATCTTCATATTAGGAGTAGAGTTCACAACAAACAATACTCTGTCATTAAGCTGCAAAACTCTGTTACATACCCTTGCATACATGTTTCCAAAGTCCATGTCAATGTGGGTTTGATCGAAAATGAAAGAAGGTGAGGGGATAAGGTGGGGATGGGTGGCCAAAATGTTTTGTTTTTTTTCTTTATTATTCAATTTTGTAAAGGAAATAAAAAGAAAAATGAAATTATAATTTTTTTTGGTGACATGGCAGTGACCTGGACAGTTGACTAACAGTCAACGGTGTTGACCGTCCAAACAAACGGTCAAACCACGCTCCAGGCCAATTCTGTCTCTATGCTGCATAGTTCGGGTCAGGATGTTAATTTCTCAAACCACGGGCCAAAGTTGATTACATGGTCATAGTTTAGGCCATAATAAGGTATAATCCCCAAATTATTCATTGAAAAGATTAACCTCATTTTATAAACTAAATTTTTTGAGTTAAAAATAAATAATTAACAATACATTTTGATATATTGTATTGCACATATGTTTTCATAAGTAAGAGATAGGTCTTATATGAGTATTTAAAACAAATTGTTGTTGTATACATTGCTTAATTTTAAAGAACTTAGTTTGTAGGGGATAGGATAAAGTTGTCATTATAAGTTGCTAAGAAGATTGCTTCCCTTGAGTATTTAAAAGAACTTAGTTTGTAGGGGATAGGATAAAGTTGTCATTATAAGTTGGTAAGAAGATTGCTTCCCTTGAGTAGGGCTGTTCAAACGGTTTGGTTACCATGGTAACCGTTTTAAACGGTACTAGTTGGATAATTTGGTTTGGTTAATTTGGATAATCGGTTTGGTTAAAGTTTTTAGCTTGTTTGGTTTAGGTGGTTTGGTTTGGTTTCAGACACTCCTAACCAGTCAAATCAAATTAATCAGTTAAGTAATTAGTCATATATCTAACATATATTATATACACATAATACTTTGCATAACCACTCAAGAGTTAATGTTCATCCCTTTTAAACTCATAAAATATAAAGCTCAATATTGCTTATATATATAGTGTATATTTGTATATGTAAAGTCTAGACCACAACATATGGATGACTAATTTAGATAAATTTCATACAAAAAAAAGGTCATTTCCAGCCTATGATAATTGCTAAGAGACTAAGTTAATTTACACAAACACAACAATTCATTAACCCATACCATTGTCATAATTTTTTGATAGGTGAATACTTCTATACTAATAGTAAGAAAATTGTCTTAGTTGCATGTATTTTTGTTAAGGGTCAACTATAACTACGTGTTGATTGTTATGTTTTATTCATTATATAAATTGCGAATTGTTGCATTAACCGGAAAATTTTCATCGTCAATGATAATGTGATTTTATATTGGTTAATCTGGTTAACCAATTAACCAAACCGATTAAACTTTAGTTTGGTTAATTTGGTTGTTGTATTAGTTTGGACGGTTTGGTTATGATATTGTATTCCATGGTTAATGAAATTTAGCCTTATTTGGTTTGTTTACAACCATGGTAACCATTTGAACCCCCCGAGTATTTAATAGAAATTGGTAGGGAATAAATCTGCCAAAAATAATTGCTTCTAGTAGGAATTGAAACAGAGACCTTGTAATAAAAAAACCGCAACAATTCCGCTACACTAAGAGAGAGTTCTAATAATTTTATTCAGACTACAACATTATAATCATTTGTTTGTTTTGTTCATACGTAAATTACTCGAGCATTTTATACGTAACTTTCAAGATTCTCGGGGGGGGGGGGGGGGCCGAGCCCACCACCCCCAAGACCTGCTGTAGCTCCGCCCCTGACATAATCGTCATTCTAACACGATTGTTGATCATTTATCGCCTCATGACGATCCTCGAATGAGAAAGAGTGTAACCTAACAGCAGGAAAAGTTTAGAGGCACAGAGGGAAAAGAAAGAAGGAAGCAAGGAGTCCGGATCCTGTGACTAAGGGGGGGGGGGTGCTTAGTCACTTGACTAAGCCCCTCCTAGACCTTGGATCTAGATGGACTGATCTAATGGTGAAATTTAGGGAAGGGATAATTAAATGGCCAATATTGGAATTATAAAAAATTGCATTTAATTTTATTTATTTTTTCCTTCAATCTTCCTTTTCTGTGTTGCTATTCTCAGCCATGGAAGAGAGAGAAACGCAGCAGTGGGAGAGAAGAACGGCGACGGTGAAAAAGAGGGGAGCGACGACGACGATGGAGAGAGAGAATGGAGATCTCGACGGCGCCGACAACGGTGGAGAGAGGGAAAGGAGATCGCGACAGAGGTGGCAACCTTGGAGAGAGAGAGAGCAGATCTAGCCGTCGTCGTCGGAAAACAGAGGAGAGAGAGAGACGATGGTGGAGGAGAGAGAGGCGACGGAGAGAGCGCGTCGGCACGGTGGAGGAGAGAAAGGCGGTGCGGCGATGGAGAGAGAGAGATGGAAATGGCAGTAGAGAGAGTCAACGGCGGCGACAACAGTGGAGAGAGAGGGAAGAACAATTATTTGTAATGCAAGTGTTGTCGGTTTGCATTGTTAGTATTTTTGTACATAATGTCAGTGTGATTTGTATGGTTTGTATGTTTTGTAAAAATGAAAAATATGTTGGACCAATATAACAAAGCTTACAAACATTACAAATGAACTCGACAAACATTACAAAATAACAAAGCTTACAAACATTACAAAACAACTCGACAAACATTACAAAACATACTAACAGTACAAAATAACACTACTTACAAATACAAATCAGTAAACTTGTATTACAAATCAATGAATAGAAAGTGTACAAATCATAACATAAAGTATACAAACTAGACAAACAAACATTACAAATTACAATATATACAAAATAGTCATATAAACATTACAAACACAACAGACTAAAATAACAAAGTAGAATGATAAACGATACAAACTGAATTGGTATAAACAATACAAACTGAACTTATAAACATTACAATATAGGTTGACAATCATCACGAATTCAACACTGTTGTCGGAAAATCATGCACCACCGTCTCTGGTCGCCGGAAAACTGCTCCACCGTCGCCAGAAAAGTTGACAAGAAAACTCTCTCTCTCTCTCTCTCTCTCTCTCTCTCTCTAAAATCCTAACTGGGACAAAAAACCCCACGGTGGGAGAAATTCCCAGGAACGGCGGCTGCAGGCGGGGAGGGCGGAGGCCGCACCTTTTTTTTGTTTTTTAATTTAGTTGTTAAATAAATAAAATAATTAATTACCACCTTACCCTTCATTAAACTAGATAAATCTGAACCATTGGATTTTAATGAGTTTCAATGACTTAGATTGACTTGGTCATGTGACTAAAGGACCCCTTAGTCACCTGATCTTAGCCCGGAAGGAAGCTATTTGTGGGAATCGACAGTATGCATTTTATTCAATTTTCCCAGAAGCATATATACAAAGAGGTCAACTGTACCTGTACGAAGTCGCTAAACAATGCTAACGATCAAGTAAAACTAAGTAATTAGATTAACCAATGTAACAACGGCAAGTGGCATAACTGGACTAAGTTCGTCTATATAATCCCCACTTCCCCTATACATCCTTTGGTCCCCCAACAATCCAAAAATTCCCCTTAACTATCCCCAATCCCAAGTTCCCTTATAGCTCCTCATCCCGCACAATCAAATTGTGAATTCCGCCGCACAATCATCTCAATCCCTCCTCCTCCGTGACAAGCTCAACCTCGTGTCCGACAAAGGTACGGATCTGGAACAGGGAACCAGAAAGTCGCTTCCCCATTCTCCTCCGTCCTCTTCAATCTTCCTTCTGGCGAGGATGGCGACGACTACTTTGAGGACAACCTGCCTTCCGGCTCCCACTTCCCATCTCCGCTTCGTCGGTCATCAGTTGATGGAGAAAAGCAAATTGTCCGGTTGTTGCTGCCTTTCCCCACCACCGCTGCCGCTCCCATCCTCCCTTCTCTCTTTGTGTTCGCTGTCTCGATAGAGAGAGATATAGCAAACTCTGGCGGCTCGCTTACTGGAGCTCCGACGGATTATTGCAGTCAATAATGATGTGAGGAGGGGTCAAATAGATGGAAAAGATTAGAAAGAGGCTGGTGCGTTGCTGGGGAGAAGAAGAGGCTAGAAGCAGATGAGATTCTTTTTTTGATAAGCGAAGCAGAGGAGATTAGAGATCTATGGGAATGCTTAAATTCTCTTTTTTTCCCTTTTCATATTGGTGTTTATTTTTTATTTAATATTACTTAATATAAAAGAAATTACACATAAGCATTATGTGCTGCCATGCAGCTTTTGGTTTAATTTGGTGATGACGTGTGCGTTGAGTAGGAGCCTAGTCAGCGAACAATCAAAGAAGCTGACGGTGTTACTAATATCGTTAAAGTATCTAACGGAAATGGCTATATTTTTACTACACCAACTACAAAATCTGGCTATAAGTGGTATTATCCAAATTTGCCTATTGTTGTCACAAACATGAAAGTTTTGACTATACAAGTGTATTTTATAAAAAATAAATGAACACCTTTTTTAAATTGAGAGGAAGATGAGAAAGGGAGCGATAGAATGAAGGAGTGATGAATTGTGGCAGTGGCGGTGCAAATATGAACAATGATTGGCGCGACGACTGTATAACAAAGAAAGCGGACGATGACTTAGGCTGCGGTGGGATTGGGGGTTGGGATTTTCCATATCTGACGAAATTAACTACTCTTGCGTTGAATAATGTCTTTCTTTGTATGGGCAGATTATTGTCTGGAATGTTCTTATCCATCATCGTTGTCGATCATCATGCCAATAGCTTTTACCGCATCTAACGACAGTGGTGAAAGGGCGGGGACGCGGATAGCTGACGTGGACTGCAGGGTATTCCCTGCCTTCGTGGACTGCAATGAATGCCCGCATTTTTCCATGTCAGCAATCCGCATCCCCGTCCCTTCACCGTTGCCCTTAGATGCGGCGAGGCAGAGATTATGGTTTTCTTTTCATATCCGACGCCTCACCGCATTACACAGTAGCAGTGAGTGGTTTCCCGTTTTTGAGTAAAGTGGTGATACCTTCCCCACTTCAAACAAAAATGGTGATCATTTCCCCTCGTTTAACACAAACAGTGATATGCTTGACTGTTGTAGACAACGGCGGTAAATGTAAAACATGTATAGATTTGGAAATTTTTTTATAACGTATGTATTTTGAGAATTATTTTTAACAACGTGTGTATTTTTGGATTTTTTCCGAAGATATGTTTTGGAGAGGTGAGTGGTTGTGAGAAAAAGGAAACGAAATAGAATTATGTATTATATTAACTAGTACCGGGCCCGGCTCTTGTCCGAGAGAGTTTGATTATTATATATTTTGATGTGTTGTTGTCATTTTTTCGGTATAGATAAAAAGATATATAGAAATGAATAACAAATATAAACAACTAATAGGGAAATTTAGAAAGTAAATGGTGTCTATTTATTTTGTATTTCATGTAGGACAACATGAGAGTTTTTTTTTCCATTACACACACAAAATCAATCTTAATCATAAAAGAAAATGATTTTCCATTCATGTAGTTTAATCAAATATTTTTTCTCAATAGTTATCATCTTTATTCATCACGGTACGTTATAGATATGAAATTATATCATGTGAAAGAATATATAGGGCACATTAGAGATTGATCAACAATATGAAGTAGCATGTTGAAGATGTACCATGATGACGTGGGAACCACCCTCGATACAACATTAACCTTATTTATTTTGCACAAACTAATATGCTATAGAATCTGTGACCATTTTTCATCCATGCATGAGAGTGTCGTTGTAGAAGATGTTAGAGAAACAAGAAAATCACCTAGTGCCAAGATTCAGAGTGAGCAATCTTAACATGAATCAATGGCTCGAGGCATAAAAGAAAAAATCAAACGAGTATTTTGTGCACTGCAGAAGTTATACTTAAAAGTTGAGCATTTTGATTCCTCATTGTTAACTTCAGTATTAATATTTTAATATGAAAGTAGAGGTACACAAAACAGTGGGCAATGGAGAGCAAATTGATCTCAAATGCTCAATACATGGGAGCTCACTTTGAAGACCAAATGTTAAAGTAACTTTGTGCCTTCATGTTGCATCTTGTTCTCCATAAAATCCATAGCATATTCAAATGTGAAACAAAATCCTTTAATTATGCTCTCAAAACAAAAATAGGGAAAGACAATTAGATATAAAAAGAGATTATACCGCCATCTATAATCTTAAACACTTGGGGGAGATGAGTGAGTTTGAAGATGAGAGCCAAAGACATTGTCAAAAAGAGGTTCATTGAAAATTCAATATCAAGAAATCCAATAAGAGTTGTACATGAAAAAAGTCTTGTGTTTCCTAGTCAATTAGATAGCCAAAAGCCAGAGAAATAGACAAAAAAAATTATAACTTTCGAATTTGAAAGTCTGATACATGAAACAAAAAACCATTAATTTATAGTCTGTGTTCATCCCATGACTTAACCCTTATCCCTATCCACATAACAATATCAACACAATTCTATCTATGACCATTTAACCAATAGGTTACATAACAAAACTATAGGATATAGATAAAGATGTTCACAAATCACAACCACCAAACAATAGATCCACCATTCATTAATCCTCAAGCTGTCAAGCATACAATTAGATGGAGTTTATCTCCACCAAAACATAAACATATAGCATGGGGTTTGGATTCAATCATTAAGCTAATTATTTCTCAAATTTCTTAACTTAATAGAAATTATTAGATTAATCAAGAAGAAAAAACCTAAAAGAGAAATGTCGATATTCTAAATTAATAATTAGTTTAATAAGTATTTAAAAAATAAAAATGTGAAACTTCAATCTCTCACTCTTTCTCTACCACGTTCAAATCGTGGCAGAACCTCTCATTTTGTACCTTTCTATTTTCTCATGCCGTCCGACACATTTGCTTCTTTCCAAAATAAATTTTTGGTTAACCTATTTCCACTTCATTCATATACCATTTTCAGACATGACGGATTTGCATTAAACGAAGTTGATATCGTTAATCACGTGGAATAGATTCGATAACTGATACTGTTGCTTCGTATATGTCTGTCATCTTATTCTTCCGCTGCGGTCGATGTCAAAGTTTGGAAGCTTTATTTAGGGTTAATATTTTCGTATGGCCTGAACTTTGACCAAAATAAACATCCTAGCCAATCTTTTCGATCTATAACATCCTGGCCCGAACTATACACCAAAATAAATAATTTGGCCAAACCCGATGTTTGACCGTTAACTTGGACGGACAAACGCGTTGACTAACGGTCAACGCGCCACGTCACTGCCAAGTCAGAAGATCTGATAAATATTTAATTTTTTCGTTTTTATTTTTGGTTTAACTAAGGTATTAGATGATTTTTTTTAATTTATAATAATTTAAAATTAGGGAATGTGTGGAAATGGTGAATTATTTTAAATATTTTATGCTGACTTGGCAGTGACATGGCGTGTTGACTAACGGTCAACGCGTTTGACCGTCCAAGTTAACGGTCAAACATTGGGTTTGGCCAAATTGTTTATTTTGGTGTATAGTTCGGGCCAGGATGTTATAGATCTAAAAGATTGGCCAAGATGTTTATTTTGGTCAAAGTTCAGGCCATACGAAAATATTAACCCCTTTATTTATTAACTGTTAATATTCAGACTTTAGTGTTAGTTGCTTTAGTGACTGTTCGTTCATTGGCCGCTTCCCGTCCATATGAGATATATATGGTTCACGATTTTGCTTATGTTGGCAATGTTTTAATTTGTAGAATATTAACAATGAATCATTTCATTGTTAACAGTACCATCCAATATCACAGTTGTCTATTAATGTTGTTTGTTCATATGATTGATGTTCATGATATCATTAATAAATTATTTTATTAATGCACATTTATGTTGATTATGAATTGTTAACATCACATAACTAGTTTTTTACCCGGCCTGATGGCCGAAAAATTTCATTTTATCATTTATATAAATTAATTTATCTATATGTTTAAAACTTTTTTAATATTCTAATTTTATGCTCTCACTTCATATGTGAGTATTTGATATTATTAAAAATTCTCAATACTTAGCACGCTCATTTATGATGCTTCGATTCTCTAATCATAAATCATATTGTAAGGGTTTATCACGTTCCATTAGAGCTGGGAAAATAGACCAGACCGTTAGAAAAACCGTGGTCCAAACCGTACCACACAATTTGGTCTGGTCCATGGTCTGTATTATTTTATGTTTTGATTTCTTGGTCTAGTCTGGTCTAGACAACGATTTACCGGACCAAACCGTGGACCCAACCGACTTGTCAATACGTGTTAACAGCCCATTCGACCACTCTCCCAACTCCCAAAACGTCACCCAAGTCTCAACCTTAGTTTTGTGAATCTCATCCCTCTTTCATTCACAACCACATTTAACCAGAGAGTAGAGATAATTGTGTCTCCATATGACATTATGTTAATGTTTATGACGTTATGGTGCAAGTTGGGATGCTTTTACTTATCTTTGTTATGTACTAAGATTTCGGGTTAATGTGTTAAGGCAAATAGCAATTATTTTTCATGGTTATTGGTTCAATTTTTTGTGTGGTTGACTAAACAAATTATTCATTTTTCGTTAAGTGTGGTCTATCTGGACCAGGGCAGACCGAACCAGACCGCACATGCGTGGTCTGGACCGGACCGTATAGTCTGTGGTCTGGTCTATGGTCTATACTTCAGCCTCTCGGTCTGGACCATAGACCGTATATATGGTCTGGTCTGGACCAGACCGCACAGTTTCCCAGCCCTACGTCCCATTTAAAATAGTACATAAGATTTGTCAACCAAAGTGTTCCCATTTATTAAAACATATAATAATTCCTGATTCTTGAGCTCGGACATACTCTCAACCGATTATTAAGAGTTCAGATTATTGGATAAATATACTTGAACTACTTGATAAATTGTGTATATCCCAAGTGAAACGTTGAGACACACCGTACCCCTTACGATGATCAACTTCTCTAATATTGACTCATTTTCATGGGAATGTTCATGAAGTTTTGGCTAACGATCTTATGAAAAAAATTGTCTATCAAGAGACTCAGATTTAGTATCTTATATGTACAGTAAATACAATTTATTAGTAAAATCTTTTAAACTTTTCAAATTATCAACCAACCTTTCAAAATACAAAGCATTAGAAAAACGTTATGTTAGCATTTTTGTTAGTAATGTTGACTCAACAACATGAGGAAGAGTTGGAAGAGACACATGACGGTCTATATTCCAATTTAGCATTTTAATTAAGAAATGAGTTACAATATTATTAATGATAAGAGAAAAATTGTTAATATTTTGATGTGATACATAAAATTTGGCTAATATTTTGTATTTCAAAAAGTTTGGCTAATAATTTGAAAATGTTGAAAGGATTGGCTATTAATTTTTATTTACACAACATGTATCAATTGCTAATTCTTGAAATTTAGACTAACCATCACTCATGGTTGTTGTCTACATGTTGGATTAGAATCTCAAACCAAGACAATCTCACACACTATCAAGGGTTCTCGTCTTAACATGATCCTTTAGAGTATAATTTTCCAATTTTTTTAATGTGCATTTGGAAAAAAATTCATATTTTTGGTGTTAGTTCTTGAACAAAATTTTTGATTGTATATCTTAATAATTAATAAAACATGTCTACAATGCACATAGATTTATGTACAAAAATTTTCATTGTTTTTTTAAAATTATTTTTAAAACTCATACAAACATTGTGATATTTCACATACATATGAATTCTTGGATGTATTGTAGACACATCTATTGTTAATATTAAGCATATATAAAGAGTTTACTTATCTTTTATCCCTAATTAGTAATCAAGACCTTTTAACCCTAAATACATATTGCTTTTTGTGACAAACTAAAACATTTTTGTTTTGACACTTTTGATATGGTAAATGTTTTTATTATTGCCACAATTTTGTATGGAGTCACAGACTCACGACCATGCAACCAAATAACTTATTACAGTTGCCTTGTTGATTTCATCCTTGTAAAGATTCTTCACTTTTAACCTATAGCTCGGTTTAGACTCTCGAAATTATAAAGACTTTTGGTGTAGAAGACATTCAACTATATACTAGACGAAAATTTTCGACCCATGTTTGATCAATGCTAGGTCAGTGGTTGATCAAACATAATGTTTATCGTACATCGTCAACAAAGATTTCTCTAACATTCACACATGTCATATAATACTTGTGCACCATCAAGTTTCTATCCAAACCTTTTGTTATATAATACTTATTCTATTTGATAGATATATATTAGTCTATTACTACAAACATATATATTATACAAAAAACCAAAATGAATTATTGAATAAAAGGGGGAAAAATCATTAAAAGAGGAGATAGATAACTTCATAAATAGATCTTGACTAACTTTTTTGTTTGTAAAAAAATTGTCCACCTTGGCAACTTGTAAATTCTCCAAATGCTTATGTGGCAAGAAATTTCTTTTGAACAACCATAATATATAGTAAGTATAAGTATAAGATAAGATAAGAAATGGAATAGGTACTAACTCGTATAATTAAAACTAATATAATAATAGTTAAAAATAAATCTATTGTTGTTAAAAATACATGTTCGTTCGATAAATGGTTCTATGGTTGGGATTTTGTAGAGTTTTTTTTATGTCTGGGTTTTGTATCCTAATCCAAATCATATTAAATTTTTATTTTAATACGGCTTAATAAAACCGTTAGATTAATCTAAAGGTCAAAATTATATTAAAGTAAATTGTAACCAACGATTAGTACCATATATATTATGAAAACGAAATGATATTGGAATCTTCTAGATTGAGGATTTTATCGGAATAATGTAACTTACCTTTTCATTCATGTGTAGGTTGGTTTGATGATTGGTGAAACGACCTGGTTTTTTTCAAAAAACCAAACCATAACTCAAACCGAAAACTTGTTACTTCGGAGCAACCCAAAACCACATTTAAACAAACTGACATTATTTAAGAATTTTAAACACAAAGCCCCAACACTTGGGCAAAATCTCAATCTCAAATACTTAAAACAACTTAACACAGAATCTTGAACCTTGGATCTCCAGTACATATACTCATAATCATAAACATAAAATAACTATCAAATTTTAACTATAACTCTTCCCCCCAGCTCCTTGACATCTCATCAGTACTGGCACGACCGCTCGCCTCGTCTTACTTCTTCTCGGGATCCACTTCTGTTAACCCATCCTCAACCTGGTGAGTGAGAAGGGGTCAGTCTCGTCGTTAGTTCCTAAGGTCTCTGCTCTAAGCAAACTCCTTACTTTTAGTAGTTCCTAAGGTCGAGGGTAACCAGCTAGAGGAGCGCAGTGCAAGCGTCTCGGAGGATGCTTAGTCAAGGTTTTCAGTAGCAGTAACATTAGGGATTATTAGTTATTTACATTTATGATTATGAGTATAGACTGGAGATCACTTTGAGATTTTAAGTATTGAGTTTGCCCACTTGTAGGGCTTTGCTTTGAACTACAGGAGTGTGGTTTCAGTAGTTCATTATGAAATTTTTCCCGCTGCAATTTAAGCTTTGGTTATTTTATTTTTCAAGGGCATTTTAGTAAAAGTAGTACCTGGCCGGGTTAGGCTGTTTCAAGCTCCGTCTGTCTCTCTCCATTCGGTGGCCGGCTGCCTACACCGGGAACTCTCCGTTTTCGGGTACAGATCGCGGGCACCACAACAGTAACTCTGGTGGACAGTGGCACCACCCTTAATTTTATCAGCGAGGAACTGGTCAAGATCCTTATTCAGACGAGTCCGGTGGATCCCGTGGTGGTCCGAGTCGCAAATGGGGCACCTATGCGATGTCAGACAGTCTATCGTGGGCTCCCGTTTGAGATTCAGGGGCTGCCTTCACCGCGAATATGTTTGTTCTACCTATTCGCGGGTTTGACATGATTAAGGTTGTTCCATGGCTCCAGGGTTTGGGACCAGTCACCACTAACTGGCGGAGTTTGACAATGAGGTTCAAATGGCGGGATAAGTAGTGGTGTTTGTAGGGGCTTACTACGGCCCTGAGCCACATTTCTCTCCACGAGTGCGTCGTTGAGGGTGAGGTCGAGTTGGATGTGCTGTGTTGGCTCGTGGCGCCAACTGAAAGACAGGAGGTGGCCCCAAACCTCCAACGAGTGATGGAGGGGTTTCCAGAGCTCTTCCAAACACCGACCACCGTACCTCCACAGAGACAGGTTGATCACCGCATTCAGCTCAAGGATGGGGTGGAGGCTGTGAATGTCCGTCCATACCGTTACGGCCATTCGCAGAAGGAGGAGATCGAGCGGGAGGTGGAGGAGATGCTCGAGACCGGGCTGATTCGGCCTAGCACCAGTCCCTTTTCTTCACCGGTGCTTCTGGTCAAGATAAAGGATGGGACCTGGCGATTCTGCATGGATTACAGGGCGCTCAATGCGGCGACGGTAAAGGATCAATTTCCGATCAAGAATGTGAACGATATGCTTGACGAGCTCCACGGATTGGCCTACTTCACTAAACTCGACCAGAGGGCTGGGTATCATCAGATTCGTATGCTGGAGGAGAATGCGCACAAGACCGCTTGTGCAATGCTCCCTCGACCTTCCAAGCTGCAATGAATGACATTTTCCGACCTCTACTGCGACGGTATGTGCTGGTATTCTTTGTTGACATTCTCGTTTACCGTCCATCATGGGAGGTACATTTGCAGCACTTGCAGGCAGTATTTGAGATTCTACGGCGCCATCAGTACTACCTCAAAGCTTGGAAGTGCGTATTTGGGTTTCAGAAGGTGGAGTACTTGGGCCACATTGTCACACTGTAGGGGGTCCAGGTGGGCCATTCAAAGATTCAGGCTATGGTGGAGTGGCCGACCCCGTCCACTATCACGGAGCTAAGGGGGTTCCTGGGCTTGACATGCTACTATCGGAAGTTTGTACAGGGGTATAGCATGATCGCCCGTCCTTTGAATAACCCTTTGAAGAAAGGAGGGTTCGCTTGGTCACTGGAGGCGGACGCGGCCTTCCAGCAGTTGAAGCAGGCCATGACTACCACCCCGACCTTTGACATGCCGGATTTTTCCAGGACCTTTGTGATTGAGGCAGACGCCTCCGGACGAGGCATCAGGGCAGTGTTATCCCAGGATCGACATCCGGTGGCATATATGAATAAGACCTTGGCTCCCTCCAAGGAGGCATGGTCTACCTACTAGAAGGAAATGCAGGCTATCATCACGGCAGTGCAAATGTGGCGACCGTACCTGTTGGGCTAGAAGTTCCACATTTACACTGATCACCAGAGTCTGAGGAAGCTATTGGAGCAGCGAGTTTCCACTCCCGATCAACACAAGTGGGTCTCGAAGCTCCTTGGTTATGATTATGAGATCCATTACAGGCCAGGACCCTCCAACGTTGTGGCAGATGGGCTCTCGAGGCGGCCTAGGGGTGGGGTACTGGCCATAGTGACGGGGCGTGTGCCCCAATTCTGGGAGGCATTACGGGCTCTTACTGAGACAGATGCGTATCTGCAGGGTTGTTAGGATACAACAGTCAGCGAAGTCCCGAGCCACTATTCATTTCCGCAAGGGCTGGTGCTTTTCTGAGGGCGCATCATCCTTCCGCGGGGTTCTTCGCTGGTGACGACCGTGCTGCAGGAGTACCATGACTCTCCGTTTGGGGGGCATTCTGGGGTCGAGCGGACGGTGCGAATGATACGAGCACAATTTTAATAGCCTCAGATGGATCAGGACGTGAAGGACTATTTAGCTTCGTGCGACACTTGCCAACGGGTCAAGGCATTCCACCTTCGGCCGACAGGCCTCTTGCAGCCCTTACTGGTGCGCGAGCGGGTGTGGGAGGACATCAATATGGACTTCATCATCGAGCTTCCTCCCTCAGGTGAAAAGACGGTCTTGTTCGTCGTCGTTGATCGACTAGAGAAATATGCCCATTTTATGGCCTTGGCGCATCCGTATACCGCTCGGTCCGTGGCCAAGAAGCTTGTGATTGGGGTTGTGCGCCACCACGGATCCCGAGATCCATCGTTAGTGACCGAGACTCTGTTTTCTTGAGCCATTTCTGGCAGGAGGTGTAGGCATTGGCCCAGACCATGTTACGGATGAGTTCAACCTATCATCCGTAGACGGACGGCCAGACGGAGGTGGTTAATCATTACCTGAAGCAGTATTGCGCTGCTTTGCCCACCAGCAGCCGCGATGGTGGTTAGCCGTGTTACCATGGGCCGAGCTATGGTATAACTCTACTTACCATAGGGCGATACAGACGATGCCATTTGAAGCTCTATATGGGAGGCCACCGCCTTCCTTGGTACTTTACCAGAGTGGCACCAGCCAGGTGGATGCTATGGATCGATGGCTCGGAGCCCGGGATCAGGCTTTATAGCAGCTCAAGGTCAACCTGACGGCTGCCAACAATAAGATGAAACAGTTGGCTGATGTCGGACGACGCGATGAGGAGTTCGAGGTGGGGGACTAGGTTCTGCTTCGACTACACCCATATCGGCAGGCTTCCGTGTTCCGCCGTGCATACCAGAAGCTAGCAGCTCGATACTTTGGGCCTTATGAGATACTGCAGAAGATTTTTCTGGTGGCCTATCGTTTGCAGTTACCAACCGATGCGCGCATCCATCCCACCTTCCACGTGTCTCTCCTAAAGAGATACAAAGGAGCGGCTGATCGGGTAGAGACTACTTCTCCACCGGTCTCTGCAGATGGGGACCTTCAGTTGACTCCTCTGCAGGTCTTGGATACCAGATGGGTTAAGAAAGGCGGGCGCGTGATCAAGGAGAGCTTGGTCCTATAGCAGCACATGGAGAGAGAGGATGCCACCTGGGAGGAGACGGCAACCCTCCGGCAGCGCTTCCCAACATTCGACCTTGAGGGTAAGGTCGTTTCTGATGGGGAAGGGGATGATAGAGACCCAGGCGGTGGGTAGGAGAGACTGGGTTGGCGTTCGACCATGTGGGCTGGGTTGAGTAGTGGCAGTTCTGTTATTTCTTTGTCAGTTCTCTGAAACTTATTAAAAAGGGTTCAGTACGTTCATTTGGAATTAAACAGTAAGAATATCAAAATCGCTAAATCCCTTTCTCTCTGTTCTTCCCCAATTCTTTCCAATCCTTAATTCTTCTTCTCAATTTCCCAATCCCATTTCTTTCTATCAGATACACAATGATTTCATTTGGCTTTTTAGGTACTGGTTAGGTGGAAAATGGATTGAATATTGACCAAACTCATACCCAACCTACACCCTTCAATTTTAAGAGCGGGTAAAACCTGCACCCGACCCATAACATGTGAACTCTAGATTTTACCCACAAATTTGGATCGGATGGGTACCTGTGGATTCGGCTTCTATTACCATTTCTAATCGATAGTCCTCCATTTTGGGATATTAGTCACCATAAATATGCTCTAATACTACTTGTTAAATCATATCACTGACATATAAAACCAAGTGATGTAACTTTTAACAATCAAAAGGATTTAAAGAATGAAGAAATGAACGATGAATTAATGTAAAATGAAGAAGATGAAGGTGAAGGCTTCTCTTCTTGTTACCCCAAACTTGGGTCGTGCCAAGTTGGAACAATTGGTCATTGACTCATACTAGCTATTTGCGTATGTAACACCTGATCTCATAATCTTAAGGTGTGTAAAGTATATATGGCGAGTATCTATATATAGGGATGGCAACTTTGCCCATACCCATGGGTTTCTTACTATCCAACCCAATTGGGTTGGGTATGAAATCCAAATAGATGGATATGGGTAGAGTTTGATGGGTTTGTACCCATACCCATTTACTTTGGGTTGAGTTGGGTTTATATCAAATGGATTTGGGTTTGTACCCATGCCCAAATACAAATTACAGTTTGGTACCCAAACTTAATAGACATTCATATTTAGTACCTAAATTTAACTTTTTTTTTTTGCATATAAGTCCTCAAAATACCGATGAAAAATTACGTTTTGGTACCTAAATTTTTTTGGTCTTACATTTTGGTACCTAAACTTTTCAAGTTTTGCAAATAGGTCCAATTTTTGCATGTGTAGTTAAAACACCCTCAAGTAAATGGATATCTATATCCAACCCATACCCATTTAGATTATGGAAGCCCCAAACCCAAACCCATCTATAAACCCCCAAATCCATATGCACTTCACCCATACCCAACCCATTATCAATGGGTCTACTTGGGTTTGGGTATAATTACCCATGGGTGGGTAATTTGCCATCCCTATCTATATACAGCTTTATATATATATATATAAGGTGTTCATTTTCTCTAGGACTGATGTTGTAATCCGATTCATAAGCAAAGAAAACACTATTTAAACAAAAGTACTAGCTCCTTTCTGTATGATTTCATAGTTAATACCAAGGTTTAAAAAGGCGCTAGGCGTAAGGCGGGCGTTGAGCCTTTGCCTTGCGCCTAGCTCGCCTAGGCGTAGACTAAGCGTGCCTAGGCGTTGGAAGAAAAATAGTTATTCGCACTGCATGATGAGTGAAATAATTATCTACAACACTTCCTCACTCCAGTTAAAATGATTAAATAACTTACTCAACACTTATTGACAAGAACATAGCTCACAAATTCATATAATCATAGCTCAATAGCTCACAAAGTTCTTGAGCTATTGAAAATATTGCAATAGAAAATTGATTTCGTAGTTGATGTTAATTTTGGCCTTTAATATTGACTTACTAGCTCCATCTAGTAATGTTTAGGAGAGACTTATATGTCGCCTTACTCCATGACGTGTTCCAGTATCTAATTAGGCGTGAACCCCCTAGGCGAGGCGTTTTGCCATTGCCTTGCGCCTAGGCGTGCCTAAGCGTAAGATTAAGCGTGCCTTTTTGAACCATGGTTAATACATTGTGATTTAATCAATCTGTTAATATTAGGGTGGTGAAGATTCAAACGCACGATCACTTGGCAAAACCACGTTTGATATCATAAATTAGTTGGTCTCAAAGAAATATTATTATGTATCTTATATAACACTCTCTTACCCATATTTATACAAGATGAAGTACAAATAACATGTGTCACAATGAGAAACTACTTCAAACTTCAAAGTACTCCTGCATACTTCTATAAGACTTTGATCTTGAAAGACAAGAATGGCAAGACCAGCATATAGGTGAAAATGGTGCATGTGGAAGGTTACACGCATCCATAATTTGCAATCTCTAACCATGGATAAGAAAATCGGCGGAATACGAACGGAAGACTATTCGTCGAGCTCATGAGAGGCAAGTCTGAATTGTTCATTTTGACTTCCATCCCACCATGCATATTATTATTATTATTATTATTATTAATAATAAGTGGCTCACCAACTTGACAGACAGTACCATATGGTGTGCCTTTGGATAGGCCACTTATCCCTCCAATGGAAGGGCACCAAGCAATAAGGATCATATAACATTAATAATGACTATAGGAGGGCCCATTTTTGCTGCAGCATAACTGCATAAGCATGTGGTACTAAAGCAAACCATCTTTGATGAAGAACCAATGTATAACAAGATAATTATCATTATCATTATCCCTGTCCTGGGAATGATGCCAGCAGAAATGTGTCAGAATATTTCATCAAATATTCTTCTTGGAGCCAACCAACCCAACCGGGCAGTACTGATTCGTCCGATCTTCTTTGCATATCTTTTCTGTTTCGAGGTACAAGATAGAGACACGTAATAGCTAGCTAGAGATCTTTTCTGCTGCTTGCTGTTGCGCCCATAAGCAACCAAGAATCATCCGGTCTGGTCTGGTATGGTCTTACCAAGAAACTCGATCGATAATGAGAACCAAACCGATCTAACATCTCTAACTTAACCTAATGATCAGTACAGAACCCATTTGAAAGGAAGCTAGCTAGCTAGCTAAGACAGTTCCACATGTGATTTAAGAACATGAACACAAGCCAAATTCACAACAGTGCTTTCATATGAAGAAATTAAATCAGAGTTTTGGAAACAAGTTTGTTGACACCCTTGCTAAAGAGTCTTTGGTTCAGTGGTTATGCTTCTTGATTAGATCCCGATCGAATGAAGATGCTATCAAACTTGTTTTGTGAGAACTACATTCTGGATATATGAGTTCCTTGGGAAGTACGAGGCTAGAGTTTATAACATCTAGTGGAAGGTTATAGTGGTAGAGTCGAAAATCTGAATGAGAAGGACAGATTTAAATTGTGGTAATAATTGGAGGAGGAGTTTAAAGATTTACTGACTATTCTATTTTTTAAATTTTGTCACAAATTTTACATGTAATTTTTCCTATATTTCACAGTTGAGTAGAACTACAGCTGCCTCCTATTTTCAATTTAGCTCCTCCACTGAAAAGTCTCAAGGCAAAGATCATTAATTATTTAGTGCATATGTTACATAAATCCAAAGTAATAAAGATTTCTAAACCAGTAGCTTAATTACACAACAGTGAGTATGGAAGGAGACTAGGTAGGTAGGTAGGTAGAATTATACATGGATCGAAAAGAGAATACCTTTGATTTGCTTGCTCCCAAGTCCCATGCAAGTATATCGATCAGTAGACATCTCCTAGCTAGCCTGCTCAGAACAAAATTAAAAGAAAGGAGAGAAAGGAGGGAGAAATGAGAATTTGGTGATGGGGGAAGAGCCAGAGGGGTGGAAGTTGATGACAGAAGCATAGAGAGCACAAAGGAGTGAGATGCCATGCCATTATTAGCTCCATCCATTTCGATCAAGTATCCCATCATCAGTGCTCTCTATCTTCTGTCAACAATATAATTACAACTTCCCCTCTCAACCAAACCCTCTCCCTCCTTGAACTAGAAAACACCATAGATCGACTGAAATATATATATGGAGCAGCTTTGGATCTTGTATATAAACCAGCTGACAGGAACCAGATAGCTAATTTCTCAAAAGGGAAAAGGGGATCATGGTATTGTGTGCATTAGGGTGAGCAGAAAGAGAGAAGATGAAGTTGCTAGCTAGCTAGATAAGAATGGGTGGCTAGGGGCTTAGAGGGGATGCCTTGATTTATGGTTGATGACTGAGTCTGTTGGGGCAAAAGCTATATTTATAGAAAGAGGAGAAGGGAGAAGAAGAAAGCTAAGACTTACTGTGCTAGAATATTATTATAACTACAATAATAATGGGGGAGATAGCTAGGGCCTAGGTGGGCAATGACCTAATCTCGGTTGGACACAAATCTAATTGGGGTGTAATATTATTGGATCGAAATGAATGGGAAAGGATAATCAAGATAGGATCCAAATGCTTTTATTTTATATGATTTAATTAAATTAAATGTTACTTTTTTTTTCTCTATAATTATTGAGATTGAATCAAAACTACAACACTAAAAATTAATATTATATCAAATAATGCATTTTTTTTATAAGGATGATATGTGTTAGGATTTTAATTAGGTGCTAATTGAGGGGTTTGAATATAAGACCTCTATATTTAAGATTAGTGATATTAAACCTGGACCAAATCCTTGTTAGCAGATCAAATAATACATTATTACATAAAAAAGTACCACGGTCTTTGTAGTGGTGGGATGCTGGAAGGTCCTTTGAAAAGAAGCAAGATAGTAACAAACGGTAAATTAATTATCATATTTTTTCGGTTAGACCGATTGAAAAGATAGTTTTTTAGAGGTTGATAAAATTACGCTGTCTTTATCTAACGATTACGGATAATCAGCTCGCGATCCAATGAATATAGAGTGTTGTGACTTGTGAGTACGTTCTTAGTTCTTACAGACACCCTTTAATCAATATGACAAAATTTTATTGTGCGGGGTTGAGAAATGTTGCACCTTTGGCGGATTTAATTTGTACCTTCTGATCATGGGCAGCAAAAAAAAAAAAAAAGGAAATAGGAGTTTAGCAAGTACATAGATTCGTGTCACACAACTGCCTTTTTGTACAACTTCCTGAACAACCCTAACAGATTACATGCACTACCATCTTCTATCTGTTTCAAATGCATGAAAGAGCCACAATAAAATAACTCCATGAAAGCAAAACCAGCTAGCCAAAATATAACAGAGTTGGATGATCGCTAAAAAATAACTTTAATGAATTCAAAGTTAAAACCTCTAAATTAAATACTGGCAATATAACCGCTAGACCAAATTTTTATTCGTTGTTATTTCAAATTTTCCTGAGCTTTATTTATTGTTGTGTACATGTGGTGATCACCACGACATTCTGGGTCCAATATGCTGTGGACAATTTTGTTTTTCTCTTTTTTTGGTACAAAACTTGTTGTCGTGACAATTGTGGGCGGACAGATTTGGAAGCAATCCTTCCTAGCCATGGGATAGGAAAGGGATATGCTATAAGCCAATCGCTAGCGGAGGCGATAGGGAATAGGATAACCATGTTCTACCTACAATAATAATAATATTTAATATTATTATTTTCATCTAATTTCTACTTAATTACATTAATTTTCCAAAACTTTACGTGTCTTGTTAGTAACTATGCCTCCACATTACTCATAAACCAACTTGTCATAATAACTTGAGTTGTTCGGAGAGATCTTTTCTTTACACGCCCCCTCAAATCACTACAACAAAAAGCTACTTTACCGACATTCACTTAATGACAGCCACTAGGACCGTCGTTATGTGAGGAGATTGGACGGACAAATTGGCCGTTGTTTGTGACCGTCGGGATTTGGATGAAAATTCTGTCCATTTAAAATATTATTAATTAATTGCAAGTAACGATAAAGTAAATGGCACATGAGACCATGAGAGACGTGTCTCTCTTTTCCATTTTTGATTTTTTTTCTTCTTTATGATTCCTCTTGATCAGAACACGTGACTCCTTCTTTCCTTTGTATTTTTCTTTTTTACATTTGTTCTTAGAGTTATGATTTCCTAAATAAAATATAAAAAT